GTGAAAGTGGGGTGTTAAAGTCCCCTACTATTATTGTGTTACTGTCGATTTCTCCTTTCATGGTTGTTAGCATTTACCTTATGTATTGAGGTGCTCCTATGTTGAATGCATAAACATTTATAATTGTTATGTCTTCTTCTTGGATTGTTCCTTTGATCGTTATGTAGTGTCCCTCCTTATCTCTTGTAATAGTCTTTATTTAAGGTCTATTTTATCTGATAGGAGTATTGCTACTCCAGCTTTCTTTTGATTTTGATTTGCATGAAATATCTTTTTCCATCCCTTCACTTTCAGTCTGTATGTGTCCTTAGGTCTGAAGAGGGTCTCTTGTAGACAGCACATATATGGGTCTTGTTTTTGTATCCATTCAGCCAGTTTGTGTCTTTTGGTTGGAGTGTTTAACCCATTTACATTCAAGGTTATTATCGGCATGTATGTTCCTATTACCATTCTCTTAACTGTTTTGGGTTTGTTTTTGTGGGTCTTTTTCTTCGCTTGTGTTTCCCACTAAGAGAAGTTTCTTTAGCATTTGTTGTAAAGCTGGTTTGGTGGTGCTGAATTCTCTTAGCTTTTGCTTGTCTGAAAAGCTTTTGACTTCTCCATTAAATCTGAATGGGATCCTTGATGGGTAGAGTAATCTTGGTTTTAGATTTTTCTCTTTTGTCACTTTATATCCTGCCACTCCCTTCCGACCTGCAGAGTTTCCACTGAAAAATCAGCTGATAACCTTATGGGGATTCCTTTGTATGTTATTTTTGTTTTGCCCTTGCTACTTTTAATATTTTTTCTTTGAATTTAATTTTTGTTAGTTTGATTAATGTGTTTTGGTGTGTTTTTCCTAGGGTTTATCCTGTATGGGACTCTCTGTGCTTCCTGGACTTGGGTGACTATTTCCTTAACCATGTTAGGGAAGTTTCCAAATATAATCTCTTCAAATATTTTCTCAGACCGTTTCTTTTTCTCTTCTTCTTCTGGGACCCCTATAATTCGAATGTTGGTGCATTTAGTGTTGTCTCAGAGGTGTCTGAGATTTTCAATTCTTTTCATTCTTTTTTCTACATTTTTCTCATCAGTTATTTCCACCATTTTGTCTTCCAGCTCACTTATTCGTTCTTCTGCCTCAGTTATTCTGTTATTGATTTATTCTAGTGTATTCTTCAGTTACTGCATTCTTCATCTCTGTTTGTTTGTTTTATAACAATGTGTACATGTCAATCCCAATCTCCCTAACTATCCCTTTCCCCTTGGTAACCATAAATTCGTTCTGTAAGTCTGTGAGTCTGTTTCTGTTTTGGAAGTTCACTTGTATCATTTCTGTTTAGACTCCACTTATAAGGGATATCATACCATATTTCTGTTTCTCTATCTGACTTACTTTGCTCAGTATGACAATCTCTAGGTCTGTCCATGTTGCTACAAATGGCATTATTTCATTCTTTTTTAATGGCTGAGTAATATTCCATTGTATATATGTGCCACATCTTCTTTACCCATTCCTCTAGTCAATGGACATTTAGGTTGTTTCCATGTCTTGGCTATTGTAAACAGCGCTGCAATGAACATTGGGGTGCATGTATCCTTTTGGACCATGATTTTCTCCTGATATCTAACCAGGAGTGGGATTGCAGGATCATATGGTAGCTCTATTTTTAGTTTTTTAAGGAACCTCCATACTGTTCTCCATAGTGGCTGCACCAACTTATATTCCCACCAACAGTGTAGGAGGGTTCCCTTTTCTCCACACCCTCTCCAGCATTTATTGTCTGTGGATTTTTTGATGATGGCCATTCTGATCGGTGTGAGGTGATAATCTCATTGTAGTTTTGATTTGCATTTCTCTGCTAATTAGCAATGGTGAACATCTTTTCAAGTGCCTCATGGCCATCTGTATGTCTTCTTTGGAGAAATGTCTATTTAGGTCTTCTGCCCGTTTTTTGATTGGGTTGCTTGTTTTGATGATATTAAGCTGCATGAATGGAATGGAATATTTTAAAAATTTATTTTATTGAAGCATAGTTGATTTACAATGTTGTGTTAATTTCTACTGTACTGCAAAGTGACTCAGATAGATAGATATATATACAGACACACATATATACATTCTTTTTCATATTCTTTTCCATTATGATTTATCACAGGGTACTGAATATAGTTCCCTATGGTATACAGTAGGACCTTGTTGTTTATCCATTCTTTATACAATAGTTTGCATCTGCTAATCCCAAACTCTCAATCCTTCCCTCCCCTACCCCTTCTCCCCCTTGGTAACCACAAGTCTGTTCTCTATGTCTATGAGTCTGTTTCTGTTTCATAGATACGTTCATTTGTGTCATATTTTAGATTCCATGTATAAGTGATATTATATGATATTTGTCTTTCTCTGTCTGACTTTGTATGATAATCTCTAGGTCCATCCATGTTGCTTCAAATGGCATTATTTCATGGAATGAAATTTTTTGTAGCAAATATGTGATTGTGATTAAATAAGTGTCCATATGGACATCCATTCAAAATGTACACAGTATTTTGCACATATATTTTACTTGAACGTGTTGTGTGAGTGTGTGGATTTATTGAGGACATTGTGTGTATCTGGAATGAGGGATGCAAAGAAAGGTAAGGGTCTTGACTTTACCATCTGAATTCATTGTTTAAAGGGGAAAGAAAATGTACACACATAATAAACACTGCAGTATTACAAGTTGTAATGCAGTGTGGTCTAAGAGCATGCAGGAGGAAACCTGTCTTAACAGGGGTGGGAAGATGTATGAATGGGTCACACATGGGTACCACTTGGCTGGCTGGCTTGGATTCCTCCAGTTGTTTGTTCAGTGAATTTCCCCGAGTGTCTAATGTTTACCAGACAGGCACTGCAGGAGATCCAAGATGTAGTGTTAAACAGAACAGGCATGCCCATCAAGGTGAATAGCCATGATGTTTCATAGTTACATTAATATGCAATTATAGTCATGGTACATACTATGAATGAACAGAACAGGATGTTATGAGAAAAAAAATTGCAGAAAAAAATAATTTCGATTGGGATATCATGGGAGGCCTTCAAGGAATAGAGTTTACCAGGCAGAAAGTGGGGTTGAGGTACATTTCAAGAAAAGGAAACACTATTGACTTACTCACTCTGTCAAGAGAATGGAGATGAGATGAAACTTTATATTCATAATTGCTTAAAGTTAGAAATACAATTAAACACTGTTAGTCTATGAGTATTTTATCATTCAGTAGAACTTTAGAGACACTTATTTCTAGTTGTGATTAGGTGGGGAAAGGACTCAGACGTCAAAAACACTTAGAAATTAACATAAATCTACTACTGTTAATGCAATACTAATGGCTCCATAAAGCAAAGATATGATGGTATGGCTGATGCTAATTCTTAGAGAGAAGTAAGGCTGGACCACTTTTCATATTTTCTCCTTTTTCTCAATGAACAGTAAACTCAACTACTTCTGCTTCTGGTAGCACCATGAATACTATGTTTTTTCTTAATTCCCAGAAGGAAAACATGCACGATTATGAAAGTAGAATGACCAATAAGCACAATCAACAGATGCCAGTAGGAAATATGAGGGGCATGAGCGTCTCAGTTCAGCTGATGCTAATTAATGTATTTTTCATTCAGGAGGACATCTTTCTTCAAAATCCTCCCTTCAACACAGAGTATTCATTTTCTTGGAAAAGGCAATTTAGTTGTGTTACAAAAAAAGAAGTTAAAAAATAAGATAAGCCTAACTCCCTTCCAAATTTGTGACCATGTACATATGGTGGAATCCTTCTAGGATCTGGCCCTCCCCTTGCTCTTTGACTAAGTGTGTTGCTTTGGAGCATCTGACTTTGCCTGGGATGAAGGAGGGAAGTCTTCTAGGAGGTAACACTGGGCTGAGATTCACTGTGCCTTAAGAGGCAAAGGGTATGGTGTGGAGGGAACTTTCCAAGCAGAGGAAACAGGATCTATGAGAAAGCCCTGAGGTGATGGAAAGAAGCTCTTTTTGCACAAAGAAACAAAAAGAGGGCCATGTGGCTCTAGTATGGAGAGTGAGAAGGTGGGCCTGAACTTCACAGTATGTGAAGGATTTCATACATTATGCTAATAAAAGCAATGGGAAGCCACCCAAACAGTTCAGTAAGGGAGGGGATCTAACCTTTTCAATTTTTAATAACATTTAATGCTTTCCGTTAGTGTGACTATTTTCTTAAAAATAGAAATTACATTTGAGTATCTCAGTACCAGGACTACAGCGTGGCCATTTTACCTACTTCTCTTTATAAGTGATATAGATCAGTGAAGAGTCCAGTTGATGCAATAATGTCCAAAACTGTTGTGAGCATTACCAAATGACTACTTGTTCCATGATTTTTGACTTAGATTTGTGGAGAAAAATTAGCTTCTCTGATATTTTGCTTCCTTAAACCAGAAATAACAATGTTCATTTGAACTAGACTATAAGTATTTCAAGATTCTTAAGATTGGAATTTTATTTTATAGAGCTATATAACAATTCTGTTATATGCTTATTAATATTCTTTTAAAACCCGTGTACTGCTATAAACTCTGTGTTTATCTTTGAATGTAGATTGTGAATATAAAATCTCAGATGTTGGGTTCAGCTGTCTATGTTTCACTGAAAAGAAAAAAAATAGCTTTTGTAGGAATAAAATTATGACTTATTATGGATTCAATACGTTTTTGATTTCACATTTTTTAAAATATTGAAACCTTATTTTCACTATTAAAGAAACCAAGGTAATCACTTTTGTTTAGTTATTGACTTCTTGAAAAATAATATTTATAAAGCACTGAAATGTATGGTTACTTTTTTCTGAGAGAAATATTATCTGAATTTGATAATTATATTTTATCAAATATGACTCATTGTAGACTATCAAGAAACACAGTAGATAAAATTTATTTTCTGAATCAGGTCATAACATAAGTAATTTGACATTTACATTACTTACATTTGTTTCTTTATCTTTGTTAGGTTATTACCATTGGAAAACATGTTAAAGGGTACCATTACATCATTGCAAATCTGGTAGGTGAATTAATGATATTTATGATTTTAATAGAGATGCCTGTTAATTCAAAAAAAAATTTATGGCCAGCACTTATCAGTGGTATTTTTAAAAACGTTTCGATTATATCAATCAATTAGAAGTGACAGTATTTTTCTGAATTTGTTACACTTTAGATTTACTTTCCATTTCATATTTTCTAATCAATTTCCTATTGTTATAAATGACGTGAGAAATGATACAACAGTATTTGACAAGCTTATACTTTGTGTTAAAGGTGTATTTTAACTAAGGGAGAATTTTCAAAAAGATATCAAATTTAAGTGTCCAAATTTCCCCTTGTTTCTCACTGTCACTGTAATTTATAAACTTTACCCTTTGCCCATTTCTTTAAAGTTCTTAGTATCTATAATATTTGAAATGCACATTTGTGAGAATATGTCTTGGTGCAAAATAAAGCCTGGAAGTACCCAGAATATTTATATATTGTGTATTACTTATGTCTGATTTCCTACTTACTATATAAGCAACACAATGAAAATTGAATAACTGTAGCTGATCACTTTTTCATTGAGATTCCCCTCAAATTAAGATTATACTGAAACATTCCCGTGATTAATTGTATCTCCCTTCTTAAGTATGATCAAAGTCAATTTAGAACTACCACTAGAAATTTCTTTTTTCAAAATAGTTTTTAGATCGGCATTAACGTGAGCTTGAGGCTCCCCTGCTGCAAAGGTTTACGTTCTTTCAACAAGTATGATTCTGTGCAATTGAGGGCCCCGTTTCCCCAGCCTCAGAAAAAAAAGGTGATTAAAAGAGTGACAAAAGCAGAGAATGAGAGTGTATTCTCAGTAGCATTATAGGACTGTGAAAAATTTCCTATTTATACAGATGAGGATTTATGATGTTGCTTGTGGAATGTTAGATTGTTATGTCACAAGACATTATTTCCAGTAGTCATGGAGAGATTTAAAAAACCCACAACCTTACAAGTGATAAATATTGTTTTCACTAGAAAGTGGCACCAGTGATAAAGAATATTCAATCTCAAACCTACATATATGGGGAGAAGTTGGTTGTTCAAGATAAAATTTCTGTTTGTCAATGAAATGGCTCATCACTATAATCATTTTTTAGAATTTACCCTTATACTATGGCTTATAGATCCTAAATGAGTCCCGACCAGAGAAGCGAGAGTTAAAATAAGTGAAACTCTGTAATCAGGCTTTCCAGAACCACATTCTGTGCAGGGAACAGCCTGGACAGTCAGTCCCCGTGTGAACTGTGCCATTGATGAACAGCACGGAGCCACACCGAAAGCTGTGATCTTTAAAAATGTCCACATGGAGAAGATTATATTGGGACACTGAGAAATAATGACAGAAGGAGGTTCATCAATTTGAGAGTTGATATTAGATGCTGTGAAAAAGGAAACATGTGTTGACCAACGTAAAAAGGTTCAAAAATAAAAGCAAGTTCTTGCTGCTGTCATGCTGCTATAGGGAGAAATCTACATAACATTTTATCTGAATTCAAGTTGTGTTTTTCCTTCTCTGAATACTTGGTATCCTCGCCATATGGAATTTCTAGTGAATCAGTAAATTCAAAGAATCTGTGGAGTGCTGCAGTTTCTGAGAATCTCTAGGGCACTTGAAAATTTCAGTGACATTTAAAATTGGAGACTGCCATCCAAAGTTGAAGGGCTTTCATCTTCCAAAGTCTTGATTGAGAATGTCCCTTCTTCCATGTCCAGTGGCTAATGGGTGTTAAAGGAAGTGGTTGTAAAAGATAGAAAAATCCTTAGATATTGTTAGTGACTTATTTCTTCAGAAATTGCTGAATGCTTGATTAGGCTCCCCAAACACAGGCTATAGTTCAGTTCCTGATACGTCATTAAAGGGGATAAAGGATGAGGAAGAGGTCATAAGGGATCCAATTCTCATTTCTTCAGCCCTTCAGAATCAGACAAAAAGCCCTGCAATCCGCCCACCTGACTCTGCCTTACAGTGAGGCTCACTCATCAACCAGCCCTGCCCGTGCACATAGAAATTCCAAGAAATGTTTCCTTGGCATCTTCCTCTTAATCAGGCAAGCATTACCAGACATTTGAGAAAAAGGTCTTTGCCATGAGGGATGCAATACAAATAAACAAGCACACAGAAACAAGGCAGGCAGGAATCAGGAGAAAAATGCTTCAAACTGTAAGAATATCTTCAGAGAAATAAGATGAAATATGTTATCCATAAAGAGGAGAAAAGGCTGCTGTTAAAAAAAAAATCAAGGAACAAGAAAGAGCTCTGGGAAGTTAACTTATTTTTCGTAGAGTAACTAGTAAAATTACATGAGTTTGAAGGTAAAGTTGAGAAAATCTTCCAGATTATGTGGCAAAATGACAATACAATAAAAAACAGTGTATGTGGAGAAAACTGAGGACTCAGACGTTTAATCTAGGGGTTGCAATGTCTTATTAATAAACCTCCTAAACAGACATAGTGAAAACAGGGGAAGGAAATTATCAGAGAAACATTCAGAAAAATTTCCGGTACTAAATGACATAAATCTGCCTGTTGAGTACACACAATAACGAAAGACAAAAGGCTTCTTTCGTAAAATATCACCATGAACTTTCAGAGATAAATAGAAGATCTTAAAGTTTATGACAGGTGGGAAGCCGGAAGGAGTATGAAGCAGGTCACAGACGAAAAATAATTAGAAATAATGCTATTGTATTTTTCAGTAGAAACAGTAAGTCAGTAGAACAATGCCTTCAGATTATCAGGGTTTCAACTTAAAATGCTATATACCCAGCCAAAATACCAGTCAAGCGTCAGAGAAAACAAAGGTATTTACAGACATTCAGTGTCTCAAAGAAGGTACCTCCACGTCTCAGGAGACTACTGAGCACTCTAGCTGAAGAAAGGAGTAAAACAGGAGAGAAAAGTGATGGAGGATACAGAGAAGCTACTCAAAAAAGAGGGGAAGGGGAATTTCAGGAGAACAATTGCAGAGCAGATGAAAGAGGAACCATTCAGATTGCAGCATCAAAGTGGAAGGCTCCAGGATGCAGGGGAAAAGATAGATGACTTGATATGTTTCAATATTTTAATTGAAAAAACGTTTACCCATATAAACATGAAAATTTTTACATGAAGCAACTGGAGAAAAAATAAGAAAGAGAAAGCTCTAGTAGTGAAAACAGTGAAGCAATCATTAACATTAGAATAAAATACTATGCAAGAAGGAAAGTGCAATCCAAACACGTTATTTGGCTTTGCTCTGAAAAACAGAATTCTAACTGTGAAAACAGTGAACATTCAAATGGCTGAGGAGATAGATGGTTTGCTTATGAGACTTACATTCTCATCTGGCACAAGTATAAACTGATGAAGAAAATCTAACATGGGTAAGTTAGGAAAGAAGAGCAAAAATGTGTCATGCAGAATTACAGAGGTAAATACACGAAAAACAAAAATTACTGAAATTGATTGTTTTGAAGCAGCTTAACTGAGGCATGTGTGGGTCAGAACAGAAAATCTATGATTCTTGTTATATACATTTTCCTCTATTTGCATTATTTGATAAAGAGAAAAAGCAAAAATGTGAGCCAATAACAGAGTGATTATTGTTCTCCACACAAATAATATTAAACTATATTTTTAATATCAACAACAAAGAAAAGGCTCTCATATTTAGGTCAAAATATTTCCAATTCTTCTGTGTGATAATAAGGAATAAATGTATAAGATGAAAATATTTATAATTTTGACTTTTTAAAATTGTGATTTCATCTTTCAGAGAATGTACTCCCAAACTGAGATAGAATTTATGGCAGCACAAGATTTGAAATCAGTGGAAACACTATATGATAGTTTTAGTAATGACTGAATTCATTCTAACAGTGCAGTAAAAGTGGCTTTTTAAAATTTAATACATTTTATAAAAACTAAGCTTCATGCTTAAAGTGAAAACGCTTAATTGTTCTCAAATAATGACAAAGCATTTGGTACCTTCCCTTCTCATTTAAAAGGTTTTTATATCACCTGAGAGAATGAACAATTTTAATAGAAATAACCATCACACAATGTTGTAGCTCTTGGAGAAGCAACTTAATGTTTAAGTATCTGGTGGTGCTTTGTTGTAAATACAGTAAATAAAGCCCAGTTCTTATCCTTGGAAGATTTCTCAATAATACAGAGAACTTTTATGTAAGTATGACCAATAAACAATCATTGATTAAGGACCCGCTATGACCAGGATGAGGATAGGTACTGGGGAAGAATATTGGCTGTTAAAATACATGAAACATTTACTATAGGCTTTTTATCTCCCTCATGAGTTCTTTAAAATTTGTAAAACCACAATGTCTAGAGCTATTTGCTTAACGTTAAGTTCTATTTGGTTCTTAATAGAAAGCATGACATAAATATGTTCTCTGTCCAGGGATTTACTGACGGAGACCTATTAAAAATTCAGTTTGGAGGTGCAAACGTCTCTGGATTTCAGATAGTAGACTATGATGACTCCATGGTATCTAAGTTTATAGAAAGATGGTCAACACTGGAAGAAAAAGAATACCCTGGAGCACACACGACTACAATTAAGGTACATCTATCAGGATCTATTTCTACCTCCATCACCGTGTCTATCCCCACCTCCACCTCCATCTCCATTTCTACCTCCACCTCCACCATCTTCACCTCCCTCCCCCCTCCCCTCCCCTCCCCTCCCTCCCCTC